TTTTTAATTAATATTTAAAAATGCATTTGGTTAATTATTAAAGAAAAGTTATTTGTAAAATATAAATATTTATTTATTAAAAAAATAATTAATAATTAAAATAATAAATAATTTTTAATTATTTATTCTATTCGAGGATTCTATTCGATGAAATAACGGCTCCTTCAGATATAACTATCACATGTGACTGAAAACAACTTTCGGTCAATATCCCATTCTATCAACCTCGAGATGATAAGTTCATAAACCATATCCTCTGTTTGAAAAGGATCAATTTGTATAGAACTCAAAATCATCTTCTTCAAAGCGCAAGTTTCAGCAACAAAATGTGCAGTCAAACACAAGATTTAGCATCTCCTTTTGAGTACGTACGAAACCCTAATCGTCTAATACCCAACCACCTTTGTAGATTGGAAGTGAGGTTTGGGGTTTGGGGAACGAATTTGAGTAAGGAATCACATACCTGTGATCTTGTTGATAGGAGAGACAAATGAAAAAAGAAACCGACTGCATCTGCATACGAAATGATTAAGAGGATCTTGGAATGATTCATGGGCTTTCAGAAAATCGCCAAACAATACAAAGGCTCTGAGCGATCAAAAGCCACTCAGAGCAAAACAAACTACCCCTTAAGCTTATTGAGGATCATTGTAGTCCAATAAGATCCTTTATGACTTATTAAGGCTCAATACCACCAATCTCGACTTATTAGGTGTTTGTATATAGATACGTACTACATATATGTATATGGTGTGTTGAACTCGATAAGACAATTAAGACCCACTATAGCCCAATAAGAACCATTAAACCATAATAAGATCCACTAAGATCCGATAAGACATTTTATTAGTGATTAAAGCCCACTAACACCGATAAATCCCATACATAAATGTATGTTTGATATGTGTATGTCGTATATATGTAAGTATATTACATATATATAAATACGTATATATAAATACGAAATATGTAAAGAAAATAAAAAATATATTTATAGATAGAAAAACAAAAATAATGAATTAAAATTTGTTATGAACAACCAGCTGATTGTGGGATTCACCGGAAATTGAATAAAATGATATTTTAGCGTTTTAAAGGTAAAAAAAGTTCATTTTATTTAATTTCTGACGGATCCCACAATTCGTCAGTGATTCGCCACATATTTTAATTCAATTTAATTTTTTTTAATCTAGGAATTAAAACTGGTGGCAGATCTCTGCGGATTGTGAGATCTTGTCGAAAATCAAATAAAATGATATTTTGGCGTTATAAATTAAGAAAACCATTTTATTTTAATTTCTGATGGATTTTCAAGAGATCCCACAATCTTCTAGTGAATTGCCGCAAATTTTATTTCCGGGAAAAAAATAAAATTTGTAAAATTTGTGGCGGATTTTAATTAGTTATTTAATTAATTAAAATGTGCCAAAAAATTTAATTAATTCATGTTAATTAATTTTTTTTTAAATTAGATTATTGTGGCGGATTTGTGGTGGGATTTTTTAAATAACCAATAAATATATATTCCACCACAAAATATAATTGAACTTAAATTTTTTATTCAGTAGCGGATTTATGTCGGAAGTCAACGAAAGTTGTATTTTTGTATTGTTCGATTATTTTTCGTCGAAAAATCCGCCGAGATGGGCTCATGTTTATTGAGACATGGGATTCAATTTTGATTGTTAAAAGGTGTGTTTGAACTTCGAGTACTTCGATTGCGTAATCACCCTAAGTATACATGTTTTGGTATATTTGATCATTCATGTTATAATTTGTATACGAGTATTTGATTATAATTATGATGTTTCAACCCTTATGGATGAAGATTAATTGCTTTATGTAGCTAATTATGAAATTCTAAGGGAGTGTTTGGTTTGCTGGATTTGAAGGGATTTGGAGGGATTTGGATTTGAAATCCATTCCAATCCCACGTTTGGTTTGTAGGAATGATAGGATTTCAAATCCTGGGATTCACTTGAAATCCCACCAACACTGGATTTGAGAATCCTTTGAAAATACATGGGATTTTGAAATCCTTCATCGCTTGCCCAATTCATCGCTGTCTCCTCCATTGGTACCGATTTCTACCTTCATCGCTGTCTCCTCCGTTGCCCTTCGTCTCCGTTGCTCACCGCCGCCGTCGCCGTCGCCCTTCGTCTCCGTTGCCGTCGCCGTCGCTCTTCGTCTCCGTTGCTCACCGTCGCGTCGCCCTTCGTCTCCGTTGCCACCGCCGTCGCCCTTTGTCTCTGTTGCCGTCGCGTCGCCCTTCGTCTCCGTTGCTCACCGTCACGTCGCACTTCGTCTCCGTTGCCATCGCGTCGCCCTTCGTCTCCTTTGCTCACCGTTGCGTCGCCCTTCCAGGTAAATCCCTTTTCCCCTTTTCCCCTTTTCGATTTATCTCTACACTATGAACACAAATTAGGTTAAATGCTTTAATTTTGACAGATTAGGTTGAATATACATGAACATAGATTAGGTTAAATGCTTCAACTTTGACAGATTAGGTTAAATGCTTCAATTTTGACAGATTAGGTTAAATGCTTCAAATCCAATCCTGCAAACCAAACACATGATGGATTTTAAATCCAAATCCCATGGAATCCAAATCCCTCAAAAACATTCATGCAAACCAAACGCACCCTAAGATTTCCTATCACTACTAAATGGAAGATTTTTTTATCGACACAATTTTTTGGGTAATCGTCACTAAAGGGTCACCTGTTCACAAAACTGTCACAAAGTTGGTGGGAAACTTAAATCAACGATGGATTACCCAACGCCTTGATTCAGTATAAACAAATACCAAAGAGAAATAAAGTAAAATTGAGATTCGATCTCCTGATGCACTAGTTTGAAACCATTATCTAGCCCTCGTTTGAAGTCTCATGATGCCCTGTGGAACCATTGTTTGTCATCATCGGAATCCTGGATTTGAATTGCCGAAACTTAGTAGTACATACTCGCGGGGTTTTAAATTTATGTAATTGAAGGTCAGATAAGGATGGTTTTGATCGATTAACAATAAACTCGTGTAAACATGTTTTCAATTTTAATTGCACGGTTTATCATCAAAATTGTGTAAAATACTAATAGTTTTCTAAACAGTAACCCGTCAATAATTACCCGGGTTCCTAATCATTTTTGGGTTTTTAATAGAACTTGAGATCAAAATGTTTCAAATTCAGAAAAACTATTGTCACAAAGCTTTCCCAAATGCACCACCTCTGGAACATTACATTCTCACATGTATTGTCCCAAATATGAAAAAACACATCAAACTTGAGTAAACAACCAACCACCTACCACCATAACTCAAAGAAGAATTTCAAATCCAAGATTAATACCATATCCATAACCCAATCTTTAGAGAATTTACATCACGTTTTTCTCAAAAACAACAGCCTAAAACATGACAACTTAATCAAGAACAGAGGTTTGGTATGTAAAGAACACATACCCCTTACAACAAAAATTAAATCAAGCATATCCCCTCGAGTTGTGAAGGAATCTAAGCACGCTCCCCACGAATGCGCCTCGCCAGTTGGATATCTTTGGGCATTATGGTTACCCTCTTGGCATGGATGGCACATAAGTTAGTGTCCTCGAAGAGACCAACAAGGTAGGCTTCTGCAGCCTCTTGAAGAGCCAACACAGCGTGAGACTGGAACCTTAGGTCAGTCTGCAACACCAACATAATAGTTTACAACATTTGTTAGAGGTGGATTGTTTCAATAATTCAAGTTTTGAAGATCAATCGGATTTTGGGTAATAACCTTGAAATCCTGTGCGATTTCACGAACAAGCCTCTGGAATGGCAACTTACGGATGAGAAGCTCTGTACTCTTCTGGTACTTACGGATCTCACTGTAATCATAGGCAATCAATTTAGCCAACCGTTAACGACATGAACTAGTCTTAACATTTAGGGTTTTTTTTCGTCGGAACAATATATTCCACTAATTTGAATGTGCAATCATATGGAAAGTTCGAGAGGTTGAAATGGAATGAAAACTTCAAAATACTAATCTGACCTATCTATCCACAGAATGAATTCAAAGATAACAGGTATTCAAACAGTCAAGTGAGAGGCTAACCGAAGAGCAACGGTTCCAGGACGGTAACGATGAGGCTTCTTGACTCCTCCGGTTGTAGGAGCAGATTTCCTGGCGGCCTGTGAAGATTTTAACACGAATGGCAAACAATAAGCAATAAAGTTTGGGAAAAACTACTCGATTGACATTAAAAGGAAAGACTACACCTCCAGATTTGAATATATGATTCGAAAACACATACCTTGGTGGCGAGTTGCTTCCTGGGAGCTTTTCCACCAGTCGACTTACGAGCGGTTTGTTTTGTACGGGCCATTGCGGTTCAGATCCAAACAGAAACTGAAAGATATTAACAAAGATGCATGTTTAGAACTGAAATCAACAGGTTTAAGAAAAGTAAAGCACCATCATAGAAAGAACGAGAAAAAAATGATACCTTACCCAAGATGAATTTGTAGATGGACAAGATTTGGAGACTAGGGTTTCAAATTGGAGAAAAGGCTCCTTGGATGGCAAATGCGTGCGTATATATAAAGGGCGAAAACGTAGACCTCAAGTTTACAACGGCTTCATCCAGTGTTTGAAGTGGTCATGGATCCTTGAGCCTCTTGCCGATGGTTGCTTTTGTGCACGTGGACAATTTTGATTGGGTAGAACTATTTGACACGGATTGCTGAATTTTGTGTTTCTTTTGGCTTAACTCGGTCGTTTGTGTTTCTTTTGAATCGGTGGCTTTTTGAGTTGGAAAAGCGGCTGAGTCTATTCGTGCAAAATTCGTTACAAGTCGATTTCTGTCAAACATTATTAAGGGGTGTTTGAGATTGTTTGTAAAAATAATTTATTGACTTATTCTGATATGTCATCGATAATAAGCACTTTTGAGTGTTTTGATAAACAGTTTATACCAATGAAAAACCGGTAATAAGAAGTTTTTAAAGAATTTAAGTCATTTTAACTTATAATAAATTGATAAGTACTTTTGTTGAAAAGCATACGTTGTTTCAAATAAGCAAATCTCAAACACCCCTTTAGTGGTCCTATGGTTTGCTCTAAATTGGGAGATGGTTCCTCAAACAAATTATCTACATAAAAGACCTTAACTTTTTATTCTTATAACATTCATAATTCCTCAACTTAACAACGTTTGTTATACTACAGTTAAATAACATCATGTACATTACACAATAGGGCAAAATTGTATTTTTGCCTTAATTCCTCCCACTTCCTTCTTCCTCAACACCCTAAACCCTAATTAACCTAACATAGTTATCAAAAGCCCAAATGAAGAACATCGTTCACAAGGATGTAGATGAGTTTGGCGAAGCACTAATAATCGTAGATTTCTTCAAACGAAGCAGATATTATTAATTGGGGTTTTCATCAAGTTTAAATCCAAATTAACCATGAAAAATATCAAGAAAAATTCCATTAACATCAAGAACAAATTCGTCAAAAAATCTACATTTACAAAGTCCATACAAATTAAAAACATAAATCTGAAAAAACCAAAAAAAAACTCGTATCTAGTTGGTAGTGATCTTGAGGGGTTCTTTTTCATTCAACCCAGATTCAGGTTCAAGCCAATAACAGGACCTAGATTCATCAAGGAACCCCTATCCCCAAATCAAAATCCATATCCTATTGTCGTATGGATCGAAGGAAGGGAGCAAAACTATTGTTGCCACCATTGAACGAGAGGAAAACCGTCGCTGCCACCACTGTCGTGCAGATCAAAATTCGTAAACTGAACCCGTTCCGAATAGTCATTTTTCTATTTCATACAAAATTTACCTAATAAATGAGTTTTTTACGAAGTTGTAAAGAGTAAAAACACACAAATATTATATAAAAATTATAAGTTAAACTCACACCAACACCCATACGAGTAAATTAGCTCATAATATAAGACATTAAATAAAACTGAAAATGTAACTTGCATTAATATAAAACTAAAAACAAATTACAACTTTAATACAAGAAAATAAAATGCTAAGCTACAACTAAGAGAAGAAGAAAAAAAACATTAGCTAAAATACTTCTAAGAGATTAATAATAGAGAGAGATGGGGGATAAGGGATCTGTGTCTTCAAATGAGCTCCCAAGACCTCTTTATACAGGGGAAATGGATAAGAATAAAGCATTTATCCAAAGGAAATTAAGAGCACAAAATCCTTGGGGCAAAGACTAATAAACAAAAACTTAAAATAATAAAAAAGGTACATCTCAACAGCTGGAGGAAATCTCTGGACAGATTCTTCAAGCAACACATCCTCCAAAAAGTAGAAAGCAGCAAAATTCGTGAACGTCCCACAGTAATGCCACAGAGGGCAGTTTGCCAGAAAATGCAGGTTTTCGAAATAAATTTTTTTTTGTTTCATCATCTTTTTAAAACTTTTTAGAATAAACAGGGAAAAACAAGGAAATTAGATATTTAATAATTGCAAAAATGAAGGATATAAATAATAAATAACTCTAGAAAATGAGAGTTATCAGTATGCATCCCATTATAAGTCTCATGAAGACTTACCTACCCATGTAGATCGGCTACTAATAGCTCTTGATCGAAGACCTACACATTACCATAATATATCTAATTAATGACTTAATTTCTCTAAAAGTCAACAATAGTCGACTTTGGTCAAACTCAACCCGACCTACAGTCAAACCCCAAAATCGAGTCTCTTGATATCATTTGATCTCATCTCTAAAATCTTTATGGGTCAAATGAGGTAAAAGTCAACTCTTGGTCAATCTCGACGTTAAAATAATCATTTTATAACCTTATAAATCCATCTTTCTAAATTAAAACGTCTCAATAAATACTTAACTCAAATTACGACGTTTTAATCTTATTATTGAATCATCAAAATAATTTAATAAACCTCTAAGTCTTATGCTTGATAACGACTCTTAATATCAATTTATCCTTTTAGTAACCATAAGAATTATATGCTTTGCATCAAAACGTCTCGATGATATTTAATCAAAATACGACGGTTAGAATCCATCCTTAAATTTAAAAAACAACATTATAAACACCTCCTCATGATATAATTAATTAATTAAATTCAATATTCTAAAATAAATGAATATATTAATTAAATAATAATTTTGATTAATACATTAATTCATTTAGAAACTAAATTAATTAATTAATACAATATAAATAAGGGCAAAATGTACAAAATAGCAATCTACTTTCATAAATTTCTTTGTTATAACATTGTATTTCTAGTTTTTTTTATTACAGCAATATACTTTTAAACTATTTTTTATTAGAACATTGTACTTTGAAAAATTTACCCATTATAGCATTGGGTAACCTTTTGATTTAAATTTACTCATTATACTAGGTTTCCATGCCACCTCATTATAGAGATAGCCAAAAATCGGTTCCGGGCTGGTCCCAATCGGTCCTCATCTTTCTCATAACCGGCCATAACCGGTCCCGGCGTAACCGGTCCCGGTCTCGGCCCCGGTCCCAACCGAAAATGATAGGACCGGTCAAGATACTTCATAACCGGTTATGGGCCGTCGGTCCCGGTCCCAACCGGTCCCAATCGGTCCCAATCGGTCCTTTCATTAAAAAAATAAGATTTTTTTTTGATTTTTTTAATGATATATATTTTTAATACATTATAAAATTTACAATTGAGTCACTCAAATACACTTTAAGAATGTGTTTTAATATAATTAAAATTACGTTTTCTTATAAAAATACATTATAAAATTATTTAAAAATATGTTTATTTATAAAATTATTTGAATTTTCAGGCCGGGCCGGGCCGGGCCATAGTCGGTCCCATAACCGGTCCCGGTCCCACGAAACTACCAAAAACTTCAACCGCTCCCGGTTTCGGTCCCATAACCGTCCTTACCGGTCCCAGGCCAGTCCTTTGTCGGTCCCGGTCCCGGTCCTCCGGCGGACCCGGGCCGGGCCGGGCCGGGCCGATTTGGCCATCTCTACCTCATTATCCACGTAGATTGTCCACATGTACTATAGTGATGTGACTTTCTTGTTACAACATTGTATTTTCAAAATTATTTTATTATAGCATCTATTAGTTCTTATTAAACAGTGTACTTTTAATTTTAATATTTATATATTTACATGTTATTTAATAAATATATTAAATTAATAAGATTTTTTTAAATTATTTATTAGTATAACAATATTAAAAAATTGTAGAACACAATTCATTTCGTTAACATTTTAGAGAGAATTTTAAAATATATGTATTTTTTTTAACAACATAAAATAAGAAGTGTTACTTTTTTACAAACAAAATATATCTCGAAAATAATTTAGCATATTTATTTAAGAAATATTTTACTCTAGAATATTTAATTTGCATGCAACTTAATAAGAAAAAGTCAAAAAAATTAAACGTTTTTTTAATCATAGCAATGAAAATGAAAATCACTAATAATGATTTGAAATAGGTTTTTATTTTTATTTTAATTAAGTCATCAAAATGATGTTTCATCTACATCACCTCATTAAAGCCACACAAGCAAAAGAAGTCAAGTGGTTAACCGGTTTAAAAGGTAACATGTTACTCATTGTTATAATAGGTAGATTTTTTAAAGTGTGATGTCTTAATAAAAAATAATTTGAAAGTACATTGTTGTAATAAAGAAAAACAAAAGTAGAATGCTATAATAAAAAAAATTATGAAAGTAAGTTGCTATTTAATGCATTTAACCATATAAATAATTATATTATCATCGACCTAAACCCAAAATAATTGTTGTTGGACCTTATTTAACAAATCTGATATGGCGCAAAAAATAACCAAAAGAAACAATCCAACATAAATTGGCCCAAAACAAAGCAGCCCAAAACATCCAGCCCGGTCTCGCCGCCCCAGCCGTGCTTTAGCACCGGCCCTAACGCGTCCCAACGCCGGCCAAGACCAACAATGGTTGTTGGCATTTTTCACCCATTCTTACTCGTTTTTTGACCGTTTCTAGTAATTCTTTTTGCAAAACTTCTAAAAAATAATTTTCTTTAACTATACAAATAAAAATCAACGAAAACCATCAAGTATTGAGCCTCATTTGCTCATTTAAAGATTGATTTCGAAAATCAGTAGAGTAACTCAAAATCGGACCTCCAAAACTAAAATTTGAGACATAAAACTACTAGGGTCGATAGAGGAACTAAAAACGAAGTTAACCATATAAAGAGCTCGAAATTTGGTTAAGTAATTACTTCTAATCGCCAATTTAGCTAATGCTGAATCGATGACCGATGTTTTGTGTATAATGTAAGAAAGCGGAGCTTTTCAAACTCGAACTTCAACCTCTGATTTCTCTTTCAAAATTCGACAGAATACTGATATTCTTGAAGCAAAAGTATTGAGGCAAGTGTTGGCTACGTGTATCTGAAACTTTTTTGTCTTAATAATTGAAAATTCGAACCAATAGAAAGCTTCAAATGAGTTGTCGTTTTCAAAATTTTGAAAATAAATCAGATATTTCCTTTTGTCATAGCAGTTCCCTCATGTATGAGGAATTCACTATCTCACAATGCCCCTAAACTTTC